AGTATATAAAAGAGGGGAATGTAATGTGTGTGTAGATAGTGTGTAATTGATCTGCGGTCAGAAGTATTATTGACGTTCGTTGATATAGCGCGATTGTTGAAATTGAGTGTATCGGTAAAGTTATATTCGGAAAGAATAAACCAGTTTTATTAAGTAAAGACTTGTGTCGTTAAAGTTTCGTTGGAACGAAGTTACGGAAAGTTAATTAACAAACGGAGACGTAACAATATAAAGTGTATGACTGTTCCTAATCCTACGTGTTTTTTGATACAGTAAATTATTTAGAAAAGTTCTTATTGTATTTTGAAATTGAGAACAGTTTCATTTTTAGATATTTATTTTGTATCACTAAACATTATTTTTCCTTTTAACATTTGTGTTAAACAAACAGAAAGCACAATGCGCATACTTGCCAGCCAGAATCACAGTCACTTCTCTACTAGGTTGTGCTTAGCCTAACAACTTTCACTCTCCCAAGACAAGTCTCTGTAGAAATAATCTTCAAGTACGATCTTATCTTCATTATTTCCTGCAACAGCTGAGCTAAGAAAAACCTGCCTAAATTCAACAAGTAAACTCAGTTTCTTTGTCTAGTCAACAGTGTTCTCCTCGTGTCTTTTGTTCTCTCACAACAATGATCGTCGATTCCACTTAGACAATGTAAACTTGGGGGTAGCAAACGATTTTATAGTCTTCAATCCTTTGAACCCAGAAGCTATAAGTTAGTGCAATATCTTCTCAAGCAAAATAAATATTAACTACTATAGAGAGGGAGAGAGAAAAGCAACTAGAATAAGACAATCAGTACAGTCTTTGGATCACATGTTTATGTTACAATTGCGTACATGCTAAAATAAACAATTTTTTTTTTAGAATTTCTATATCATAAAGCAGGTAGAAAGTATATGATATGCCTGAATACCACACAAATTAGCACTATTCTTCATAGAATAGTATGCAATTACAATTTAAAAGCTTATCTTTAGTTTAGTTTTCCAAAAATAATAACAAGCTCGAAGTTGAACCGTTTTAAAGTAATTTTTTGTTAGCAACGTCACTGTACATATAAATGTTGTTTATTAATATATTTATCCATATTTTGTCGAAAAAATATAAAAACGTTAAGATTTCTTCGTACAACGATATTCTGCACAAGAACGCTACCCACGTTTTTTTTTTTAATGTTGAGATATTAAAACGTCGTGGAAACTTGCAGCCTACGAAAAGGTAATTGAACTTTATCAATAACTACGGTGTAAGCTTGTGATTAAATCCAATAGATAATTAAGATACTACCAGTTTTGTTATTTTCTTGGAAGTCATAAACACCAGACTTATCGTGGTAAAAATACTATGACGTTGTGCCAAAATTTTTACTTTTTACTTTTAGAAGGTGTGTTTGATTTTGATTGTTCAATAAAAATAAAAATTTTAATTATAAACAAAAGGTATACAAAAATGTGTAGAAAATGGACGTTAAATAATAGTGTAGCATATGTTTTATTCAAATTATGCACGCAAATGTTATAGAATTCGTAAACTACTACTACTGAGTAAGTGATACGATAGTGTGATGTATGTTTGGTGTAGTAAATAAAAAATTAAATGACCCATATTATTTCATATGTTAGTACTTTTATTAAACATCTACATATTTTCCCTTTTAATTTTCCAAGTTTGTCATTATCAAATCTAAAGTTCAAAATGACCCCTGGAGTACATTTAGAAATGATTGTAATACTAATATATTAATGGTGTAACAACAGTTTAAATTGTTTTCTAGGATAAAGACCACAGAGCACAAAATGGACCATAATTTTTTATTTTTTGTATGTATACTACAGTAAGTTATGTTTTTATTGTGAAGCTTCAAGCCACACAATGGGCTATCTGTGCTGTGCCCACCATGGCTATCAAAAACCAATTTTTAACATCATAAGCCATCAGACTTACTGCTAAGTTTTGGGGGGCATTGTAAGTTATGAATGATCTTGCAAATTTTTATTGTAAATGTAATTTTTTGGTAGATTAATTTGTGCATTTTTATGAAGTAATATGTTTTTGTTGAATATTATAGCACATAACTTGTTCCATAATTTTTCCTGCATATTTGAGCAGTATCGTTGAGCATGCACAAAGAGTATTAACAGATGATCAAAACAATACCATGTTCAATGACTTTCAGACATTTTCTAATAAATTGATGGGCCAGTTTTGACAAGATATACCACAGAATACAGAAAACCTACATTTTATTTAGTAATAAAATCACTATGTCCCAATGAATGGAACATTCTTAACAAAAAAAAAATTCATAGTGACTTCATTGACAGTTAACTCATGGTTTATGACATGATGTCCGATTAAATCTAGACACTTAGGAAATTTTTAGGCATAACACTACTTCACACCTAAACTTCTTCCAGCAAACAATACAAAATCTAAATTAAAATATAAAAACATATCTTACAGCATCTCCTTGGATTGGGAAATTCCATGTACAATCCTAATACAACGATAAACCAGTACACTAAACATATGATTAGCAATAAAAACACAATATTAACATTCATACATCCAGGGCCGGCACCAAACTATTTTGTGCCCTAGGCGAGGCCAGCTACTTGCAATTAAAAAAGAAATTGCCATCTTCGATTTTTAAGAACAGATGGTAAGTACTGCGTCCCTCTGAAGTCTGCGCTTTAGGCGGTTGCATAGTTGGCATAATGGTAGTGCCGGCCCTGTATACATGTAACATTACAGTTGTTGAATGAATACTGAAAGGTACAAACACAAAGTAAAAACTTAATTTTGATCAATAAGTTAGTGTTTCTTTCTTTACTGATAAATAGTGCATAAATTGTCTCTTTGTTTTTACTTTTTGTCTTATGGTATAAAGATGAGATGAACTCTGTTACTTGCAGTCTTGTTACTGGGAGAGTAGTGGCTCCATCATCATGATATTCTGGAAGTGGTTCAACAGGAATATTGGGTTCTGTAGCAAGCTGACTTACTTTTGGCAAAGTCTTTACTGAAAATAAGTAACTGCCTGTTTTCCCATAATCTTTTCAAGGATGATCAAAATGATGCTTATTGCTTTGGCCCACCTTTTGGGTTCTGCTCTTTTGTACTCCAAGTTGGCTGTTTTAATTATCCTGTGTGTCTGTTCTTGAAGTCCAACCTCTTTTGGTGGAACTGTCATACTGTCATATAGTGTATGAGGATTTTCTTTGAAGACTGAAGTTAATCTACTGCTGTGCGTACCATGGATATCAGAATCCATCTCTTATTCTTCTGCATAAAGCCAGTTCCTGTTATGCACTATTTCTTAATGTCAGTTACCAACATATCATTTGTAGAGAAACTTTCCAGGATAAGAGTGACTTGCAACTTTCTTCTTGCTAGAACTTAATGCCTACTTGCTTTTTGCATCAATCCATCTTCTTTCTTTGTATGTGGTGGCTATTTCCCACATTTCATCATCAGAAAGGTTGTAAGGTTGTAGCTGTAGAAGTGTCAATCAACATATTATAAAGCTTCCCATCAATAATCCTGTTGACTTAGAACTTTAAATAATACACACCTTATTTCTGTTGGGGCAGATGAACTATTCCTAACCACAAGATATCATCTCTTTGGTTCATTATCAATGACTGATTCAGCATGCTCCTTTAGAGATGTATATCTACTTTGCTTTAACCTAATTTGCATATCCTCTTCCATTACCCCACCTAGTAGTTCAACAGTAAGTCTGAAGGCTTATAACACTACAAAATGGGTTTTCATACCCACAGTTGGAACAGCACTGATAGTTCATTTTGTAGTTTTGTGCTTAATAACAAACAGAACTGTAACTATAGCATCCGTAAATTTTTAATGTGGTAATGGATACATCATTCTCCCTGGAGCATCCGGGTAAGATAGTTGGGCAAGCTGTCTTTCTTTTACCTCCTATATTAAATTTCTGGCCCTTCTTGTTTTTTAAATTTCTGTAAATATTCTTAGTGTTCTTTTAATCTTAACTGTTTCTTCTAGATCTTTTAATTTTCTGTCTTTTATGCTTGTTTTTCTTTTGTCATGACTTAGCAAATTTTCAGTCTCATTTCAAACTATGTTGCCGTATTGAAGTTAAATCTAGATTCTGTTTTATTTTTACCAAATTATTTCCACTTCTAACACAAGTGTTGAAATGATTTCTATAATTAAGCATGATTGTTTTTTGATAATTTAGTAAAAAAAGTCCATGCCACTTAACTGTATTGAAAGTGATTTATTTCTTTAAATATTATGTATGAGCTCTTCTGGCAAAGTTCATTGATTGGCCTAACTCAAAATTAAGCAACTGCTTGTTTGTAAACACCACTTTGTTGAAAGAAATGCAAAATTTACAGGGTTGAACTGACTCACAGACTAACTCACTCACTAACTAACTCACCAATTGACTGACTAACTCGTCAACTGTCTGATTAACTTGCTTACTGGTGTTTCTTTCATAATTTTTTCCCCCAAATCTCACATCAAATATAGATACCTAGAAAATTTTTACGTGTTGCTAGTTATCACTACATTATGCAAAAACTCCCTCTAGCAAACAATATAAAATGTCTAAGTTATAATATTGAAATGCAGCTTACAACCGTACTGTGTAAAGTAGTATTAAGTTGTTGCAATTCAAATTGAGAGTAACTGAAACTTTGAAGTGTAATTGGCACATGCCTTCTGAATACATGCCCCAAGTTTTTTATTAGTAGTAAAACCAGTAGGCCTAGCCTTCGGTTACACTTACAGTATTATTAGCATAAAAATCATATCCCTGTGTTTTTTTCAAAGATGCCACTATTTATGTTGATGAGAGGTATAGGTATGAATTTCATAAGTCTGAATTTTCAGAAGGCTTTAGAAAATTACCACATAAAATAGTAAAGAAAATTATTTTTGTTGGTGTGTGAGATAAGTTAACTCAATGAATTAAGAGTGGGCTAGAGGAGAGGAAGCAAAATGTTATAATTTGATGATGAAGAACTTACTTTTAGAAAATAAAGTTTTGAGATGGCTTGAATGGGTAATGAAAGAATCTTTATTACAAATAGCAAATGCACAGTGTTTCAACAAGCTTTTGTACCTGATGATGACAAAAACTTGTCAAAATGCTGTACATTTGTTATTTGTAACAAAGTTTCTTTCCAAACTTTGAAGGGTTGTAATTGGATGGAGTTACAATTGGAATACCTCAGGGCTTATTGCTGAGATCTTTACCCTTTTTGATATGCATGAAAGGTACTGATAATGGAATGGTCAACAAGCTAAGTTTAATGATGATCTTAAAGTTTTGGTTGGTTGTGAGGAAGATGCTAAGTTGAGTAGGTAAATGGCAAATGGCATTTAATTATGCAAAATGCAAGGTAGTGTGTGTGGGCTACCTTAATTTATACTGTAATTGTCACTTTGATGGAAATCAAATATACATCACCTTGCACTTACTGTATTTGTAGTTACTTCAATGGGGAGGAAAATTTTTCAAGTATACTTATCTTGTGCTTTGGACTTCACACTCATTTTTAACATAATGACGAGGCATGTATAAAAAATGTACTGTAGGAGAAATTCTGTATGACTTTTATATTGCACTGTAATACTAAATATAATATATGTCAGCCCAAATTTACTATGTTTCAAGAGTAGTGAAGAAAAATATGTATCCTTTGGTTGAATACTGTTATTTTTCAGAAGCCATAACTTTTAAAGGGTCTAATGAAAAATAACAGTAAAAGCTTTTGCTATCTGTGTTCAACTTTTAAAAGGTTATGGGATAAATTTTATCAAGGCCAAAATTTTTATTCACAAAATATTTCTCAAGCATTTCCAGAACAACTTGGGAATCTCTTCCTCCCCTTTCTAAAAATAATAGTTAAAAAATAGTTATGTTACGAAAGCGGAAGTCATGTGATGCTGCTGACGTGTGCGAGGAGTTTCTCGAATGATTGTGAATTTCCTAGTTTGTTCCAGGCGCCCTCTTTTTTACTATATAAGCCCGGCAAATAAAGCGAGAATAGAATGGCATAGATTGGCAGATAGATTGTTATAAAGGTTGTTAAGTTTAAAGTGTCTGTGGAAATAAACTAGTTTTAATCAAGAAGGGAGTTGTATCGCTGAAGTTCCTCGGGAAGAATTTTTACCGGAAATTATCAAACAAGCAGATACGTAACAAATTGGTGTCAGAAGTGGGA